CTGCGGCTCCGACGGCCGCTCCTACCCCAGCGTCTGCGCGCTGCGCCTGCGCGCCCGGCACGCGCCTCGCGTGCCCCTCGGCCACCTGCACAAGGTGCGCTTCGGCCCCTGCGAGTTCGGTGAGTCTGGCTCGGGTGAGTGGAGAAGGGGGACCGCACAGGTGTAGACAGCGCTGCCTGGGTGTCGCTTTCACCCTGACGAGCGGTACTGCTACTTGGCCTCCATGCCCGGGGAATCCCCATCCTAAAACTTCCCTTAGCAAGCTCTTGGAGACACCTGCCACGGAGCAGCAGAATTTGGGTGACTCGTAAGTTCCTGCTGGAGCAGTTATTTTCAGGCCTGACGTGTGCCCGATGGAGACTAGGAGTTCCTGTGGTGGTGGGGAGTTCCACAAGGTCTTACCCATTCTGTGTCCCTGGGTGGGCTCTGGGCACCGGCCTGGCGCCACTCGTTCCTGGGCTGGGGCAGGCTGTTTGAATGGAGAGAGGGAAGAGGAGGGGGATGCGAGAGGATCCAGACTGGGTCCCAGCAGTCACCAGGCCACAGCACCAGGACATTAATGATTGAGGTGTGGTGTTCAGCTGGGGCACCTGGGGGAGTTCCCACCCAGAATCTGTAAGATGTCTGGAGACCTAACCTCTGAAAAGGTTATGGTGCCATCAGGGACGTCCCAGGGAGTTTATGTAATTTGGAAGGACTCAGGAGCTCTGGTGGCGTAGTGCCTAAGGCATTTGACTGTTAACCAGAAGGCTGGTGCTTCAAACCCACCAGCCACTCCTTGGAAGGAAGACTGGGCAATCTACTTCCGTAGTGGTACCCCCTGGGAAAACAAGGAGGGATCGCTATGAGTTGGATCTGACTCCAGGGCAGTGAGTTTGGTTTGACTATAAGTAAATCAAGCCCAAATCCACTGCCATGCAGTTGATTCCACCTCATAGTAACTCTTTAGGACAGAGTAGAACTGGCTCACAGGGTTCCCAAGGCTGGAAGTCTTTATGGAAGCAGACTGCCTCCTTTTCTCCTGTGGAGTGACTGGTGAGTTTGAACTGCAAGGCTTTGGGTTAGCAGCCCAATGCTGTAACTGCTACACCACCAGAGCTCCTTCCTATAAGTATAGGAATAGAAAATTTTGAATTCTTTAAATTGATTTCTAGGTGCCTAGAAACTTAAGCTTACTTAACATTACCATAAAGCTGTGTCTGGGTGCCATCCCATCCTACCTTTTATATGTAATTTTTAAAAACAAACAAAAATAAACCAAAGGACCTTAAGCATAAGGCTGTCCAGCTAAGCACCCTGTTTTGCTGGTTCCCTAAGCATGAGTGTGGGCTGCCTGGTAGGTTTTGGAGAACTGCTCCTGTCTGAGCTGCCTGTAGGGGGCAGTAGAGAGTTCAGGGTGAGTTCATGCAGCCCTGTGAGTCCAAGGGAGCCTGGCTTGGGGCCTGGGCTTCAGGCATCCAGAGAAGATTCCATCTGGGGCCTGGACACCTAGTTTAGACTTAATGACCTAAGTCAGTGCAGTGACTTCAGCTCCATCTAGGAAGCCGAGGGGTGGGGATGGCCTTTGCCAGGGTGCTGGGCTCTGTGATGGTTGACTTTGCTACACAAACCTGGCTCACTGGAACGTTTTCCCTTAAGAAGGATCTACTTTTATTTCCCCTAAGCCTTCCAGGTAGATGTAGTAGTACTGAGTCTGGGAGATGGGGCAGGAACTTCCTGTCTGCAGAAACAACAACTGATGTCCCACTGAGGAGCGTGAGCCCAGGAGCCCAGGAAAGTCGTGTTGGTGATTCCTGATTGGAGGAGAGAGCTGGCTAGTCCTTCAGGTGGAGCTGCCCGTCTCCTGTGTGACTGGGGCCAGTCCCTCCCCTGCCTGGGCCCTGTTGTGCAGCTGTGTTAGGTCCCTTCCACTTTGAACCGTGTTGTCCAGCCTGTGGACTTTAAATGGTTCACTCTCTCATTCCTCCTTTTTGTTCCTGTTGCAACCCATTTTACAATCCGCTTTCCTCAGCAGTTCATTGTCTTTGTCTCCAGACGGGCACCACTCTCAGGCCTGCATGCAGGATACCTGAGTCCCCAGAGTGTGTACCGCGCTCCTGGTTTCAGATCCTGTCTCCCTGGAGTGTTACTGTTTCCAGGAAAAAGACACCTTAAAGACGTGTAGACCAAATCTCTTAGTGCACGGGAGGACTGAGACCCAGGAAGACCAGGGGACGTGTCCAGGGTGACTGCAGAGCCTGGCCAGCTCCCAGTGCTCTTTCCAGATAGGACTTGAGAGTTGTAAGTCGGGCAGATGGTGGTTGCCATGGTTACCCAGTGAGGCCAGATGGCAGATGGAAACCCCACACCCCTAATTCACTGAAAATTACCAAATGACAAGTAAGTGTGACAGCTCCTCCACTCTGATCTGTGGGCTCGGAGGCCCCCCAGGCACAGCCCCGGGGGTAAAGATGCTCACAGCCAAACGGCCTACTATCCCATTAGTGAGTGGCATGAGGCCTCCTGGAGTTGAGCTTCCTGCCAGAATCTGGGTCATCAGCCCCGGAGCTGGGCGCAGTTTGCCTGCAGCTTCTTGTCGGAGAGGCATTGTGCGTGCCCTGCTCTTGTGGCCAGGTTAAAACACAAAGGGGTGGACAGACAGCTCCTCCTAGCCGAGGAGCTTCATTCAGACGACTCAGCGGGAGCTCTTTTTAACAACGTGCCTGGGGGCCCTGGTGGGAGGCAAACAGGCCTAGGGGCAGTGGCAGCTGGTGATAAACTCCCTCCTCCTGGCCTCCTTCCGCAGTAAGCGAGCCCAAGGAGCCCCGAGCACCTGCCTTTAGTGGAGGTAACTTTTAATTAGCTTTCCATGCAGTGTTGGGAAGTCTTCTCACATCGCTCTGAGGGGCATTTGGAAACAGTATTGGGGCTCAAATGATGGCCTTTTCTCCTGTGCTCCGAAACACCCCGAAATGCCTCGCAGTGAGCGTCCAGCTAGTCCCGTTCTCACGAAAGGGTTCTGTTCCGACGAGTCCGTCATAAGGTTCTGACGTACGTCGAATACCTCCTTTTTTGAGTTTTAATTATGATCCCCTTTTATTATCAGTGTCTGTATAACGCCTGTCTTTATTTGCTTTGGGGGTTGGAAACATCACACAGAAACTTCCAGATATATTTTAGTGCATCCATGCGTAAAGAAAAGACACAGATCATAAAAACACTCTCACGGTCCACTGTGAAGTTGTCTTCACTCAAACGCGTTGTGAGTCGGGGGCTGCCTGTCATCACTCCGTCTGCACACAGCTCTTGAAGACCTCTGTGCTGTGTGTCTCGTTCTGTCCCACTGGAGGTCACGCTTGCTTCTGTTTCCCGACTCGATTGTCACAACTGCCCGGCCAGCTCTCAGTCCCATTTGACAGAAGGGACACCCGAGGCCTGGAGAAGGAAATTCCCCAGGGCCACATGGTGGGCTCCTGCCTGAGCTGGCCTGCAGCCCGGGCCTTCGTGGTCCCTCTCAGACGCGCACCGCGCATTTCTAGCCTGCTGACAGTCTGCTTACAGAGGGACTGCCCACTGACCGGCACTTGCGTGACAGCCTGAGTCTTGAGGGTTCCTCAGTCTGAGCCCGTCTTCCTGTTTGTCCCTGCAGCTTGTCCTTCCATTTAGCAGCAGGCGACGGCTCCTGGTGGGTCAGGGACTCTTGGCCTGCCCCACAGGAGACTGCAGACGAGGAAGGAAAGCCTGGTGCTCTCCTTCCACAAACATCAGCCAATGGGAGCAGCGGGTCACAGTGGTCCAGCCCCTGAGTCAGGGACTAACTTGATGACAGTCGCCACCACCACGATGGCTCCTGAGAGGAGTAGGGTTATCCTACAGAAGGGGAGGCTCCTGAGAGGAACGAAAGATGGGGGAGATCTAGGCTGAGGCCGGGTGGGAGCCCCAGCCTGAAGGGAGCCGAGTGAGGTGGCTGCAGGAGTTTGGGGCAGGGTTATCGCAGGCCTTAAATGCCAGGCTGAGGGCAGGACTTCATTCTGTGCTAAATGGCTGTTCACTTTCTCACCTGTAAGACGGCGTGGCCTTCTTGAATTGTCTTTGGTCGGGGCCGACTCGACGGCAAATAACAACAACAACAACAGTAGTATTGTTACTGTTAATGTCGTTGCTCTCATCGGCTGGGCTGCTGCGTGTGTGCACCCCGGACGGTGGGTTAACGCAGGCAGGGGGGCTGGGGCTGGCACCCTGCAGACAGCAAGGTGTCGTGTCCGGAATGCTGCACTGGGAAGGAGCGGGGTCCATGCCAGTGCCCGCAGCTCCGTGGGCCTTGAGATCCTCCGTTCTTAGAGAATTCTCCACGGTTGGAATTCCAGCTCAGCTTGAAAGCCTGGGGCCGTGCTGGGCCTGTGTTTCCAGGTAACCAGGGAGGCGCCAAGGCCACCTTGTGAGGGGGACAAAGAAGGGGGCCTCGTGTGCAAAAAAGCCTTTCATGCTGGGGAGGGCTTTGAGGCACAGGCTGCGGGGAGCAGGATTAAGCTTTCCTTGGTTCCTTGTTTCACATCATAAAGTGGCTGGCTATTAGCATAAATTATCAGGGCTGTTCGTTGCATTGATTATTGGAGTCTGTGCTTGTGTGCTTTTTAACAGGAGCAGATGGGGTCCTGGGGGATGACTTTTGTTATTCTTTCTTTCCCTGGCACCACTGACTGTAAAGAAATCTCACAGGCATCTGGGAACATCTGTCATCCCAGCCTGCAAGGGCCAATGTAGTTTGCAGGGTGGGGGGACGGGGCTGCCCACTCCGTAACAGTCATGTTGATTCCTTCATTGGCGTGAGTCGCACAGTTAACCACGCAGTCACATCTCTTACCCCTCATCACCCGGAGGAGCAGGGGCAGTGGGCAGTGTCTTCATTTGTTGCACACCAAGGAGGTGGCAGTAACTTGCCCAGCTCCAGAGGGGTGTGCCCGGACCCCAGGCCTCTGGGTCTCCCTCGGTCCTATTTGGCCCACCCCGTGCTGCCTCCCGGGACAGTGCACACTTGTGTTACCTGCCGTCACCCCTTGGATGGGTGGATCCATGTTGTCCCATCACTTCCAGGACTGTTGTTGACACCAACAGAAGGGAGCAAGTGTTTGGCAAGGAAGAGCTACAGAGATGATGGGGGCCTTGGGAGACTGGAGTGCCTGGGAGACACCCTCCCTCCTGTCACCATCCGGTCAGAGGAGAGCCGTGCTCCGTGGGGTTTTCAGGCCTGACTCTTCAGAAGGAGGTCACCAGGCCTTTCTTCAGAAGCCCCTCTGGCTGGACTCAAACCGCCAGTGTTTGGTTGGCAGCTGAGTGTGTTAACTGTCTGCACGCATGGTCTCCCCCATCTTGTCAAAGGCAGGTAGGACCTGAAGCCCTGGTGCTGCTGGGAACGTTGTGACCTCAGACAGCAAGGTGAGACTGTGTGCTGGCTGGCTGGCGTGAGGGCTGCGGGTGATGGCCCCTGGGGCCTCCAATCAGGGGTAGCTGCTGGCCCCTGTCACCAGAGGCCAGCAGAGGGCCTCAGGCATGCGAGTAGCTCAGGGAGGTTGCCCTTGGGTGGCACGGTCTGCTGAGTGTGGCCCTCAGTGGAAGCCTTTACAGTTTGTGAGGGACCTTGACCTCCTCTCGGTCAGTGCCCTACAACAGCCTGAGGGGTCAGGGGTGAGCATGGAGGGGCATGCGTCCATGTGGCCTTGGGGACACACAGCTGGGAATGCCCTGCTCGGCTCAGGGATACATCACCCACCTTCTCAAGAACTGTCCCCCGGGTGTGACGCTTGGGGGGTGCATCCCTAAAGAGCTGATCTCTCACTGTGGAACGCAGTCCATGCAGACAATAAATATTCCACCTAGAAAAGCATTCCTTTAAGGTGCTGTGGCAGTTCATGGCCTCAGGGGACCTGGGTCTGTGTCCCAGCTCTGTTGGGCACTCCAGCTCTCTCAGCCTTGTTCTCGTCTGTGAACTGGACCCAAAGGCATCACCTCACAGGGCTGCTGGGAGAATTAAAGGAATGCCATGCAGGGACGTGCCCTCTAAGGAGAAGGCATGGTGGGGTAGGGCGGTGGTTAGGGAGAGCCAGGCCTGGAGCAGACGCTTGGGTCCATAGCCTTGCCCCACCGCTGCAGACCGGCTGACCCTGGCTAAAGGGCACAATGGCTAAGTGCTGAGCTGCTAACCGAAAGGTTGGTGGTTCCGACCCAGCCCCCAGCTCTGTGGGAGGGGGCCCTGGCGATCTGGTCCCATGAAGACTGTAGCCTGTGAGGCAGTTCTGCTCCATCACATGGGGTCGAAATGACTCGAAAGGCAACTCGGTGACACGTAACAACAACAGCAACAAGCCTGGCTCGCCTCCCCACCTGGAAGGTGGCTGGGACCCCAGGGTAAGGCCTGCCGGCAAGAGCAGACTGTGCACCACACGGCAAGACTGGCAGGTGTTAGTCGGCCGTGTTTCCATGGTCATTCCCGTCACGAGTGTAACTGTTGATTGTAAGGAGCCTCTGTGGACAAAAATGTTGAAAATTTAAGAGCAGGTCTGTTCACACAAAGGATCATTGTGAAGAGCAGCACGCGGGAATTTTTCACGATAACAGCGCCCTTCTGTGTCTTGGTTAGGATGCTGGTTACGCGGCTCTGCGTTTGTCAAACCTGCCCGAGTGTACACCAAAGGGAGTCCGTTTTACTGGATGTCAATTCAGAAATGTAAAATGTCATTTTAACACCGAAAGCAGGGCCTCTTTTGTAAAAGAAATGCTATTTTCTGCCAGGACGTCAGTGACAAAGACTCGGTTTCCTGGCAGGTTTCCTTAATTGCAGTTATTCAAAGAGAGGGAGGGGGATGGCAGGGAGAGGAACGGATTGTGACTTGCTGGCTTATTCATGGCGGCTTGAAAGGGATTCTGAAATCTCATTTAAAATTTATGACTTGACACGAGCGAAAGTAAAACACGTTGATTGAGTGTCCCTTTGGAGTCCAGAGAGGGCTTTGGCGGAAAACGCGGGTCTGATTGTTCCCACAGCGGCCATCTGAGGGCTCGGGTGGAGGAGGCCTGGCAGCCCCTGTGCAGTTGACGAGGAGATGCCGGCGGCAGGGCGTGAATAAATTAGTGTCTTTGGCATTGCACACGGGCTTCTGCAGGACAGCAGGGGCTTTGCAATTCTGGTGGCAGTCAGGCCGAGGCTGGGGCCCATTGGGCGATGTGAGAGGTCTAAGACCAGGGCGCAGTGGGCTATACCTGCGGGACGGCGGCCTGGCCCACTGGCAGCAGTCAGCTGAGCACAGTGGATGGAGCGGGGCTGATCAGGTGGAGGCGGAAGAGAGAAACCGGGGGCTGGGGAGGGCAGCTTCTGTAGCTGGCGCCCTTCCTGGTGGGCTGTCTGGGCACCCAGGGGGCTGTGGGGCTGCAGGGGACAGCCCTGGGCTCAACAGGTGGGAGTTCCAGGGAGGAGGGTCTCAGCTCTATGTAAGAATAAGCTTTCTCACTAACAGCCGTCTAGGGACGGAAGGGCCTGGCTCCAGAGGTAGTGAGCTCTACGTCACTGGAGGCAAACAAGTGGAGGCTGGATGAGCGCGAGACGGATGGTTAGGCATAGGATCTTGGGCAGTCAGAGGAGCTCTCCAATTTGAGACTCTGGCTCTAAGATAATTTCTGAGATGTTCTGGGCACACCAGCTTGGGGGGGTTGGCTTCCCAGTCTGTCTGGAGGGGTACGACTAGCCTCATTTGTTCGGCCCTCAGCTCCTGTGGGTTTGGGTGCAGTTTGGCACTGTCCCTTCTTCCTTCTGTCTCCCTGTCCTTTGCTCCCCTTTTTGATGGCAGCCCAGCCTCGGTGGCAATGGCCCGTTTCCTGTCCAGGACAGGCCTGTGCAGGGCAGCAGAGATGTCCTTGAATCACCAGGCAAAGCCCCCAGAGTTGCAGGCCCCGCAGCTTGACGGCCCAGGGATAAATTTGTCAGTCACGTGCTGTGTCATCCAGCCGTCTGGCTCAGCGTCCTGTCCTGGCTCCACCGCCACACTTGGCCCTTCACGTTCCCCTCGTTGCACCGTCGGAGCAGCTCAGCACCCTGAGTTGTCCGCCTTTCACAGATGAGGGAAACCAACCCGAGAGCGTTTCCTCTGCCAGGCCTTCCACCGCGCCTTCCGCGGGACACCGTGGAGCTGGCTGCCAGGGTGCCCTGAGCGCCTGAGTCTAGTGCCAGGTGAGACAGGGTCAGCATCTGGGCTGCACGGCAGGCTGGGACTCAGAGATTAGAGGTGCAGACCACCTGTTCCTGGATGAGGCTTTGCAGCATAGCTGAGCTGTCCACTGGGGAGGCAGAGGTAGGGGACGGCGGGGTGCATCCAGGCAGAGGGAAGGTGGGGCCGTGTGGGCGTGTACAGTGGGACCCTGCGTGCCAGGCAAAGGCGCCTGGACTGGACGCTGCTGGTCCCAATGTGCGTGGGGCAGATGCGGGCCCAGCGAGAGGTGGAAACAAAGATTCTGAACTGGGTGCCCGTTGGTCCCGTCCGGAGAGCCCACACCCTCCCTCTCCTGCAGCCCAGTTCACCAGGTCAGTCCTCAGTCCATTTACTGCCTCCCACGTCCATCTGCCCCGGAGGGGGAGGTGTGGATGGGGTGGGAGGACTGTCCATGGACTCAGTGCATCTGTGAAAGGCAAACGGGCGTTGGGATGGACCACAGGGGTCCCCGCCCAGGGTGGGTGCAGCTGCCCTGCCAGCCTTGTTCTGTGAAACCCCCTCCACATGGGAGGAGAGAAGCCCCTCTGCTGGGAGACTGCTGTTGGTGAAATGGCACCAGCCCCTCGGGGTGCTGCGGCCGCGCTGAGTGGAGACTGAGCAGCTGGCAGCCAGGTCAAGGGCAGAGCGCTGGGAGGGCGGTGAGGAGACTTCAGGAAATTGCCTGGTCGGGCAGTCCTACTTCCGTAGTGATACTGCCTCGGAAACCCAAGGAGGGGTCGCTATGAGTCGGGGCGACTCGATGGCACATAACAACAACAACAACAACAACAACCTTGGACCCCATTATTCTGTTGGTCAAACAGGTGGCGGATTGGGAAACCTGGAGGCACCTTCCAGGTCTTGGGAACACCCTCCCCTGCGATTCCCTGGTCAGGAGTACGTTCCCTGTGAGGGAGGCCTTCCTCCCTGCCGCGGCCTCACCACTGCAGGGCCGGGCGGTTGGCTTTACGTGGTGACAGTGTGAAACTCGTCTCTGACATTGGATGTCCCAACAGTCAGGGCAGTTTTAGGCTGACGGGGTGCTCAGATCCTGGCAGGGTGAAGGCTGTGTTCACTGTCTTCTTCTCCCAGCTCCTGTGGTCGTCATCCCACCCCGGAGTGTTCACAACATCACAGGGGCACAGGTGTACCTGTCCTGTGAGGTGAGGGCTGTGCCTGCCCCGGTCGTCACGTGGAGGAAGGTACTTCTATCCAAGAACCCATGAGTGAGCATGTGCACACGTGTGTGTGTGTGAGAGAGAGAGAGAGGGGGGAAACAGACATGGGTAGTAAATGGTTTTTTTTTTCCCTCTTAAGTGTGTTCGTATGTGGGTGAGAGGACTAAAGACAGATACCTTATATGTACTCCTGCTTCCTGGTGTATACCCTGAAACTTTTACTTTTGAGCTCATCAGAAGCGGGGACACTGCATTCTTTTCTTGCTGTTTGCTCCCTTGATCACTTAGGTGCCCAGAAAGTTCTGTTTGTCCAGCCTACTCAGCAGCAATAAAGTTAGACACTCCTTCACTAAAGAGCTGGTGTAGACGCCCAGGACTATTGCAAACATAGGTCTTCCCGCATGTCCGTTTGAGTGACTGAAGTGGATTTCCGTGTATGTTATGATCCCTTATCTTAGCCCCGGGAGGGCCCTGGGATTCTGAACTCCTGCAGCAATTTGGGAGTGTTCAACCTTCGCACCAGGCGGTGCTCTGTACACGCTTTTGTGATTAAGAAGAGACTCAAGTCATGTCCATGGAGGTGCTGGAGTTTTGAGTTTTGGGAAGGACCCCTGGTGGTGCAGTCGTTAAGTGCTTGGCTGCCAACTGAAGGGTTGGTGGTTCAAACCCACCAGCGGCTCTGCAGGAGAAAAGACTTGGCAATCTCCTCCTGTAAAGATTATGGCCTAGAAAATCAAATGGGGCGGTTCCATCCTGTCCGGTAGGGGGCGCTGTGAGCCTGAAGCGACGGCCCAAGAACCGCCACAGGCCTTTGTGTCCGTGGGGGGACGCGGATGGTGAGGGTGTCTGCGGGGTGCTCCTGATGGAGAAATGCTTTTTCTAATCCTCCCCTGCTTCTGCCCCTATAGGTCACCCAGTCTCCCGAGGGCACCCAGCAGCTGGAGGAGTTGCCTGGAGACCACGTCAACATGGCTGTCCAGGTGCGGGGGGGCCCGTCCGATCATGAGGCCACGAGCTGGATTTTGGTGAGTGGCTTGTCTATTTAGGATTACTGGACACCACTGACTGACAGCCAGTCACCAGATGCTGTCAGGTTGATCCTGGCGCCTGGTGGTCCCGTGGGTGTCAGTCCTGCTCTGCACTGTCCGTGCGATCCTGGCGCCTCGTGGTCCCGTGGGTGTCAGTCCTGCACTGCACTGTCCGTGCGATCCTGGCGCCTCGTGGTCCCGTGGGTGTCAGTCCTGCACTGCACTGTCCGTGCGATCCTGGCGCCTGGTGGTCCTATGGGTGTCAGAGCTGAACCGTCCTGCACTGGCCTGTCGGTGTGATCCTGGCGCCTGGTGGTCCCACGGGTGTCAGTCCTGCACTGTTCTGTCAGCAGCTGGCTGATTTGGAAGTACATTGTCAGGTGTTTCTTCTGAGATGCCTCAGGGTGAACTCGAAGCACCAACCTTTCAGTGAACACCCAAGCATATGAACCATTCCTTATGCTTCTGTAACACATCACAAAATGGACACATTTTACCCATTTCTCACTGGATCCCACTGTGGCTGTGAGGTAGGTCCAGCAGCTTGTGTATCCCCGGGGACGGTACGTGGCCAAACACCAGCCCCCACATCATGGCCGTGTCCTCGTCCCTGGCTCCTGTGACTGTGCTGTCACATGATGAGGGGAGAGCACAGCTGCACACGCATTGAAGGCTGCTGACCGGCCGACCCTGAGATGAAAAGACGACCCTCGGCGCAGGTGGGTCCGGCCTAATCGCAGGTAAACAGGAAGACCGAAGCGGAAGGGGCAGAGGCAGAGGTGAGCTGGGAAAGACCCAGGCGGCATTGCGGCTTCGCAGACAGAGGACAGGCCCCAGGACAATACAGGTGGCCTGTGGAAGCCGGAAAAGGCAAGACACCTGTTCTCCCTGGAACCTCCAGGCAGAAGGCAGCCTTAACCAGTGAGGCCCGTTTGAGGCTTGTGACCTCCAGAACTGTACATGACAAGTTTGCACTGCTTAAAACCACTAGGTCTGTGATAATCTGTTACAGCCAGTAAAAACCAAAAAAAAAAAAAACCAAACTCAACTGCCATCAAGTCGTTTCTGACTCACAGCGACCCCTCCTTGGGTTTCCGAACCAGTATCACTACAGAAATAGATTGCCCAACCTTCCTTCTGAGGAGTGGCTGGTGGGTTTGAACTGCCAGCCTCTGGTTAGAAGCCTTAGGCACTATCCCACCAGAACAGCCCCGATAGGAAAGGAACACACCTGCCTGAGGCCACGTGGCTTATAAAGAGGAGATGGTGCGTCCGATCCCCGTCTAGGGCTCTTTTATGCCGCTTGCAGCTGGGTTGTGAACAGGAGGGAACGCCAGGTGGTTGAAAGCAATGGCATGAGGGGGTGGGGGTTCATGCTGGGGTAGGCCTTCATATAGCGGCAGTATCTGTTGCCATGGTTGTAAAAAGGGGGCTCGGGCTGGACAGTGTCTGAGGGCCCTTGTTACCCTAACAGTCTACAGTTCGCCTGTGTGTCCCCTGTAATGAGAACAGTAACGCTCACCCTCCACCCACCACAAGGTCAGCATGAGATGGGTGCATGAGCCCTCTCCGTGGTCTGTAACGTGGTTCACTGTGATACAGGCAAGAGATCCGCACGGCAGAGAGGGGCACAGGGTGCTCCCGTCAGAAGTCTGCATTTTCACCCACACCTCTTCCCCACCCAGCTGAGAAACTGGCATCTGGGGCTTTTTCAAAGACGACACATTTCCCCCCATTTTCTTACAAGGGAAGATGAGAGAAGGCTGTCGTTGACGTCATTTTGTAAAGGCCTCCTCTGTGAGGGGCTTTTCTGGGTCGGTCTTGGTAGCTTTTTGTCTTCTTTTAAGTTGAATTTGCAGTGTCTTCCTTATAATCCATGCTGTCGTTCCTATTAGGTGCTGTCAAATCAATTCCAATTCATAGGGACCTTATGTACAATAGGACGAAACCCTGCCCAGGCCTGCACCGGTCTCACAACCCCTGCTGCACTTGAGCTCGTCATTGCAGTCCCTGTGTTGTCCGTCTCGTTGAGGGCCTTCCCCTTTTTCACCGACCCGCCACTTTACCAAGCATGGTATCTTTTCTAGGGACTGGTCTCTTCTCACCACAAGACCAAAGTAGGTGAGATGAAGTCTGGCCATTCTTGCTTCTAAGGAGCATTCCAGCTGCACTCCTTCCAGGACAGATTTGTTCATTCTCCTGGCAGTCCATGGTATTTTTAGGATTCTTCGCCAACACCACAACCCAAAGGAATCAATTCTCGGGTCTTCCTTATTCATTGTTGAGTTTGCACATCCATATGAGGCGATTGAAAATACTATGGCTTGGGTTAGGTGCACCTTGGTCTTCAAAGAGACATCTTTGCTCTTCAGCACTTTAAAGAGGTCTTTTGCAGCAGATTTGCCCACTGGAATACATGTCTTGACTGCTGCTTCCATTGGTGCTGATTGTGGAACCAAGTAATATGAAATCTTTGACAACTTCAATCTTTTCTCCATTTATTGTGATTCTGCTTATTGGCCTAGTTGTGAAGACTTTTGTTTTCTTTATGTTGAGGTGTAATCCATGCTGCAGACAGCAGTCTTTAATCTTCACCAGTAAGTTCAAAGAAAGTAAAGAAGACTTCAAGTCATCTTTACTTTCAGCAAGCAAAGTTGTGTCATCTGCATATCGTAGGTTGTTAATGAGTCTTCCTCTAATCCTGATGCCATATTCTTCATATAGTCCAGCTTCTCGGATTATTTGCTCAGCATACAGATTGGATAAATATGATGAAAGGATACAACCCTGACACACTCCCTTCCTGCTTTTAAACCATGCAGTATCTCCTTGTTCTGTTTGAACAACAGTCTTCTGGTCTATGTACAGGTTCCTCATGAGCACAATCAAGTATTCTGGAATTCCTATTCTTCTCAATGCTATCCATAATTTGTTGTGATCCACACAATAGAATGCTTTTGTATAGTCAATAAAACATACATAAACATCTTTCTGGTATTCTTTGCTTTGAGCCGAGATCCATCTGACATCAGCAGGGATATCCCTCGTTCCATGTCCTCTTCTGAATCCAGCTTGCATTTCTGGAAGCTCTCTGTCAATATGCTGCTACAACCATTTTTGAATGATGTTCAGCAAGATTTTAATTACGTGTGATATTAATGATATTGTTTTATAATTCCCACTTTCTGTGGGATCACCTCTCTTTGGAATGGATACAAATAAGGATTTCTTCCAGTCAGTTGGCCAGGTAGCTGTCTTCCAAATCTCTTGGCATAACCAAGTGAGTGCCTCCAGCACAGCATCCGTTTGTTGAAACATCTCAATGGGTATTCTGTGAATTCCTGGGACCTTGTTTTTCACCAAGTCCTTCAGTGTAGCTTCAACTTTTTCCTTCCATAGCATTGGTTCATGATCATATGCTACCACCTGAAATAGTTGAACATCAACCAATTCTTTTTGATACAGTGACTCTGTGTATTTCTTCTATTTTCTTTTGATGCTTCCTACATCATTCAGTATTTTGCCCATAGAATCCTTCAATACTGCAACTCGAAGCTTGAATTTTTTTCTTCAGTTCTTTCAGCTTGAGAAATGCCGAGCATGTTCTTCTCTTTGGTTTTCTAACTCCAGGTCTTTGCACATTTCATCATAATACTTTACTTTGACTTTTCGAGCTGCCCTTTGAAATCTTCTGTTCAACTCTTTTATTTAAACATTTCTTCCTTTTCGCTTTAGCTGCTTTCCATTCAAGAGCAACTTTCAGGGTCTCTTCTGACATCCATTTTGGTCTTTTCTTCCTATCCTGTCTTTTTAATGACCTTTTGCTTTCTTCATGTGTGATGTTCTTGATGTCATCCCATAACTCATCTGGTCTTCTGTCACTGGTGTTCAATCTGTTCTTCAGATGTTCTCTAAATTCAGGTGGAATATACTCAAGGTCATATTTTGGCCTTCCTGGACTTGTTTTAATTTTCCTCAGCTTCAACTTGAACTTGAGCAATTGATGGTCTGGTCCACAGTCAGCTCTTGGCCTTGTTTTGGCTGAAGATACTGATCTTCTCTATCACCTCTTTCTACAAACGTAATCAGTCTGATTCCTGTGTATTCCATCTGGTGAGGTCCATGTGTCTAGCTGCCATTTATGTTTTTTGGAAAAAAGGTATTTTCAATGAAGAAGTCATTGGTCTTGTAAAATTGTATCATGTGATCTCCAGCGTCATTTCTATCACCAAGGC